GCTACCGGTTCTCCAAACTACTCAAAATTTCCACTACCAGTTCTCCAGAACTGGTGAGAACCTGCTTAATACCACCTCTGTTTTATACTCTTTATATTTTATATATTTATGCTGATCAATGATCACAATAAAGATACATACAGTATCTTTATGTCATCCTATCAGTCTTGGCTAGGATGGCTAGTGATCAGGGATTATGGGAACTGAAATCAAAGAACATAGACTACAGAGTACAATAACAGTCTTCTCATCACTGGTGCAATGTGTGTGTGCTCCATCTCTCTAAAAAAATAGCATTCATTAGTTGCATACAAATCTTCATAAAAATAATAAAGATTGTAATTCGGGCATTACTATGATATAAAATAAAACCACACCAGATGGAAATTAATAGAGAAACATAAATTCCTTCTAAAAATATGAAGGAAAAAAAAAAAAAACAGAAGCCAGGATATGTGGATTGGAGGGAGGGATAACGTTTAGTTTCTTCCACAAGTAGTCCTTGACTTATGACCACAATTGGGACCAGAACTTCCATTGTTAAAGATGGTTGCTAAGTGAGTCTTGCCTCTTTTTTGCCATGGTTGTTAGTGAATCACTTAATTCAGTGAATCATGTGCTTGTTAAGCAAATCTGGGTTCCCTCATTGACTTTGTTTATCAGAAGCTGCCTGGGAAAGTTGTGAATGGAGATCACGTGACCTTGGGATGCTGCAACCATGGTAAATAGATACCAATTGCCAAGCACCTGGATTTTGATCACATGACCATGGGGATGCTGTGATCGTTGTGTGAATACTGGTTGTAAGTCATTTAAAAGAGTTGCTAAACAAAAGGTTATAAGTCGAGGACTACCTGTAATGTAATAGTTATTACCAAATTATATTTTACTTTGATTTTATAGGTTTCATTTTCCTTTTGAGTCCCAAGAATATCTATGGTAATGATGATGAAAGAAAACACCTCTGTTTTTATAAATTGGATTTTTCAATGGGAAAGTGGCAGCTAACTGGGTCAGTCTTTAGCAAACACTCATTTCCCTGCTTATCATAAACTGGAGCACTTTTCCCCAAGACAAAAGGTGCCATTGGATACAACTAAACATTATTCCTTTTAAACAAACTCTGAGACTTTTTGTATTTGTTTCCTATGATTTGGCAGCAAGAAATCTTACTGTAACTATAATATTTACCAGCTCTTGTTTTTAACTGTAACTTTTTGTGAATTCTTTTCATAATTATGCTTGGCAACTGTTCAAAGTCAACAGTTGAAAGTAAGAAAAGGAATCATCAATAAGTTACTATAATGAAATATAAGCTGAGACTAAGGATGAGTAGTTGTGGAGGAAAATATACAAAGGACATGCAATATATGATTAGAACATGAATTCTACTACTATATTGAACAGACTTTTAAGTTTTGTGTATGATAAAGCTTCTTGTATGTCTTTCAAACACCTGATTCTTACACAGAGTTTCTGGCCGTCTTGTGGAGATCTGGATGTTCTTTCCTGAAATGGCACCCAAATGTAACAATGTTCTGGCTAGTTGTTTCCCAAGATGGCCTCCACCAATAATCCCAATCTTCAATATCTGATTATCCTTAGAAGCTTGGGAACCAGCGGGTACATCCCCACAATTATCTTCTTTCTGTCTGAGGGAAACCCCAAAACAGTTATTATTACATACACATACATAAAACTCAAAGTGTAAAATATATGCTATCTATTTCTTAGAGTGTGAATGGGCAACTGTGTAGAAAATATCTTGGAATGATAGGCTGAATTTGAGTCAACAGCCTAATATGTTCATAAAAAAAGAAAAATGGCCACTTTAAGCTGCATCACTAGAAGTGCATTTGCTGAAACAGCAGTTTTGTTCTATTCTACTTTGGTTAAGGTCACCCTGACTACTAGAATCCAATGCATTAAGAATAATGCAGGCTAATGACAATGTGCTGAATGACAATCAGTAAGAGAAGTTAAAGAATGGGAAATCATAGGACAGATGGATGTAACTTTTATATTTAACCTTAAAAAGATAAGATTGAAAAATACTATGTAGTCTTATTGGCTCTCTGCTATTCTATCATGTAAAAGCCTAGACTGACAGTTCTTTTCAACAAACAGCAGTCCCAGTTTAGAGTGAAAGAACTATCCAATTTTATAACAGAAAAGAGAAGACTGCTGCTTTTAGTGACTTTGGATCCTCCTGGACTCATGGTTCCTTCACATAGATAAGGACAGCCACAGGGACCACAGAATTAAGTCTTCTCAGTGCCTATACTCTCCATGGCAGTCTTTTTCCATCTTGGCAGCTTTAAGATGGGTGGACTTCAACTATCAAAATTCTCTAGTCAGCACATTGGTTGGAGAATTCTGGAAGTTGGAATCCACCCATCTTAAAGATACCAAGGTTGAGAAACATTGCTCTAAGGAATAGCACCCCCTGGATACCTTCCTTTTTGGTTTTTATACATTTTATTAAAACATGATTATTTCATCAGTAGCTGGAATGATGTGAACTTGTTTCTTCTGGTAGAGGAAAGACTTTTGACTCGAGGTTATTGTTCCCAATACTATACATATGTGAGGCAGGACATAAAAGAAGAAATATATTGCATTTAGGGAGATATTAACATGGTTCTTCTTGATAGTGAAATGTGTGTATTAAAGAAATGAAAAATGTCAGATCATGGGTTCATCTGTCAGTCACTCACTCATATTTGTCAAGCAGGAAGCTTTGTACAGATAACCTTGCAACAAAACCACAAGTGTACTGCCGGAAACTAGAAGCTGTGGAAATTCACCTTTGCCATAGATTAGCAAGAGGGGAAGGTATTTCGTTACTGTAGCCTAGCAACAGAGGGGCTGTATTTCAAGTAACCAATGAAATGCTGACAAGTTATATTTCTGTGGTTTGCAGCTTCTGAAATGTATTTATGTGAGTGTAAAATCTATAGGAAGTCATTCAGATGTTGCTTTGGCTAAATTGCTCTGAACCTTTGCACAAATAAAACTATTTCTGATTCCAAAGTCTGAGTCTTGTAATTTCCTGCAACATTTAGGTTAGATAATATTGTAATTTTATTCTCACTTTTATTTTTAATCCAGTTTATGGAAGTTGGGGAGTATGCCCCTTGAGAGTTTTTCACAACTAAAGCATCCTGTTCAATACCCCAAAATAACATTTTAGAATTCCTAAACATTGCTATTATTCACAATTGAAAATTCAAGATCTTTGTTAATATTGCTACAAATTCTTCAAATGTCTAATAGTAATTCCTAACGTATTTGACATTGTCTAATCATGTTATTTTACTCTAAAAATATAATTTATAGCTATTTATAATTTCTATTGCTTTGACCATTCATTTGCCTGAGACAAGTACACGATTAAAAGCAAACAATGTAAAGAAATAAAATAATTGCAAGGGATAGGCTTCCACAGATTTGCCAGAGCAAAACATCCATAACGGACATTCTCCATGATTCATGGAATGTCCTGAAGCAGAGTCAATGGAAGAAGCTAGGTCTATAAAGTTTCTTGAAGGACATTACAATTGGGGCTGAAGGGACATTAGGGAGAATAGTGTTCCAGAGGGCAGTGACAGAGAAGGTTTGCCTCCTGGATCCTCTAAGATGACATTACTTAATACACTGTTTCTTAATGTGTGGTCTTTAAGAAGGTTCCCTGAGATTCTCTCAGGTGTCTGCAAAGTCAAAATTATTTCCAGCCTATGTTGATTTTTAATTTTAATTTTTAATATGGTAAATGTTAATAAATACAACCCATAAAAAATCATTTTGGGTACCTCTGTAATTTTTTAAAATGGGAAGGGGTCCTAAAACAAGTTTTTTCAAAAAGTTTATGAAACATTAATTTAATAGATGGGACCAGAAGAGTGCCCATTCTGTCAGATCTTATTGAAGGCACAATTGAGGAGAGAAACACAGAGAGGGGTGGAAGGGAGGGAGGGAAGGAGAGATATGTATATATATTTTGCCTTACTTGGTGGCATTGAGTAATTTGCAGAAGAAAAGTGCATGGGCGCAAGCATTCACCATCAATCCTTTGGCACAAGACCTCAGACGAAACAGTGGCTCATTTGTCCCAATCCCATATTCTGGCTGGAAAGTCTTTAGGTTTGCCATAATATTGGCCATTTCAATTGTTTGCTGAGAGCAACTGAAATTATAATAGAAATCACTCTTGTTTGACCACCTGATGGTGGCCATCCATTGCATTAGTGTCTTATTAAAGCAAAAGACAGTTCAGTTGTGTCACATGCAGTAAAACATGTACAGCACCTAGAAACTGGAAAGGGTAATGGCAGTTTTTATTTCTAATCAATTTTATAATGAACATTTATTAATAAACAATTCTCTAGGAAAGTCAGGGGTCTCCAAATGCTTGAGCCTTCCATGAAGTTTCAGATTATCCCGCGCTAAACATTTGTTACATAAAAATAATTTTATAAATATTACTTTAATAGTACTATAACAGTACTATTAAAGGGTGTTGGGCAACCATATAAATCTCTTTAATAAATACTTTATAAAATAGTAATTAAAATATGAAAAATATAAGACAACATACCTTTTTATTGATATTATTAATGAGAAGGATGTATCTGATAAGCATCAACAAGGGCACTGATATTTGGTTGGAAATTAGTGGGATAGTCTTGCCCACTATGCGAGGTGAATAGGAACACTATACATACATATATTCTTTGTAGAACAGAGAAGATTAGAGAGACAAGGGAAAAAGTAGAAGGTCAAAGGCACACAACACAAAGCATGCTCGTAAATGAGACCATCCAATCCTGGGTAACACTGTCTCACCACTACCTCATCTTCAGAACTAGTGATTGGCATAGAGCTCAGAAAATAACTGACGGTCTTCCACTATTTACTATTATTTATTTGGATGGAAAAAAGAAGCTAAACCATAGGTCCCTATAACATGGGGTGGTTCAGGGCTGAAATCTTTCACCCCTCCTCTAACATCTGCATGAGATTGCTGTGAAGTTATCTGATGGCACAGAATATGGTATTATTAATATGCATCTCTACCCCCGACTAACCATGCAACACTGTCTTATTGCTGGATCAGCTATAAATGTTTGAAACTGAATCCAATTCCACTCAATCAAGATCGAGTGACTCTGGGTCTTTGATTCTTCTAGATTTGGTGAGACATGATCTCTAGTTCTTGCTGGGGTTGCACTCCTCTGGATAGGCCTGGTGTACATTTGGGGGATTCTCCTGGGTGTGGCTTCTTTTCAAGGTATCACTATCAGCCATGGCTGGGGGACCTCTGCACAAATTAGCCCTCTGTGCCACTTCATCTATTCCTGGACTGGGAAGTCTTGCAATATAATTTACATGGAACTGCCCTTGAAGAACATCAGGTACCTGCCCTCTTGGCCTTCGAAAACCTTGGAGAGCTGGCTCTTCCTGCAAGCATTTGTATACAGTGAGGCTGGAACCCAATAAAGTTGACTGTTGATGTGTGGGAAATATTGTTTCTGGCAATGAGGGAATAAGTGACAATGAGCAGTGGTGTTTCTTGTTTGTAAGCCAAACAGAGACATGGTGCATATGATGAATATGTCTTATAATACATGAATAAATATGTTTAAAATTAAACTAGTGTGCAAAATACAAGCCAACATATAGCATATATAAACATATTTTAAAACCAGAAAATTACAAACAAGGCAGTAAAAGGTTGTTGCCAAAATAAGCCATTCAGCCTATTATACTCATGTCATATACAACTGTGTAAATAACAGAGTATATGGTGAATGGAGAGCACAGGACCACTTTCTCTAATCCAGGAAAGCACAATCTAGGTGTCCTCCAGATATAAAATTAGAAACACAAATAATCTACACAGCAGGATAAACGGATGGGAGCCTGAGTTACCAGCCTACCTCTCAAGGGTAATTTATTTAGGTACTCTAATCCACTGCTCCTAAAAAGAAACATTAAAATGAAGAGTAGACTACAAAGGGATTAATCCTGATAATCTTTGTTTTATACTTACAATGTATAGCTTCTGAAAGTGAAGCATCAAATGAAACTAGTGTTCTAGCTCTGACAGTTTGTGATTGGTTCAAAATAAAAACTGTTAAACGGCATAACCTCCAGTTCCTAATCAGAGGACAAGTTTATTTGAAAACTTTCCCCAACCACCACTTTTGTCAGCATGTAGACGAATGGAAAAGAAAATCTCACATAGTTACCAGGTATGGAAACCACCAGTTGCATTGCACCAAATTTGTTTTAAGCTTCTGGCTCCTTCCCAGCAATTACCCTTCTGGTCTGCAGCAAAGGTCATTCTCCAAACAAAAGGCTGTCGTCATGGCAAATGCTTAGTTACAGAAGCTGTTGTTTTTTTAAAAAGTTTTTTCGTGATTTCGTAAGTGCAGCCTTTAAAGGAGACAGCAAATCATTTTCAGCTTCCCAACAGGATCAAAGCAAGGAAGTTTTCTCCTCTTTTGAGGTCACTATGCAGATACAGTCCTTCCCATGTGCATGGAATTTGATTTCAAATATATTATGTACCCTGCACGTAAATTGTTTAAAAAAAATTGGTAACAAATGTTGGCTTGGTTTAACCCATCATTTTCCCAATTGTTACTTTTTCCATGTTGGTTATATTAGCTGAGAACCAGAGGTCCATTACTACCCACAAATCTGCCCCAAAATATTTTCTGAACATTACTTGCCTATACAGTTTATAGCTATATATTGTGTGGATCCAGCCAATTATAACTTAATCCATTAATAGTGAGATTGCAGCAGAGTGTCCAATCCTTGGTTCAGACAATATATGAGTAGTCTGAGTTTCTAAATATTGTATTTTTGAAAAACACTACCTATTTTTTTTAACTCACCCTTACAGCCAAACAGCCAGAGAAACCAAATATAAGGGAGGTAAAGCTTTATTTACAACATGGAAAGTGAAAGACAACATGAAGCCTAGAAGGATGTAGATTTGCTAACAAAGCTGAAGCATAACTAGCGATTCCAATTATTTTCATTGGAATTTGAGAGAAAATATAATTTGATTAGTTCAGTACACCTTTCAAGACTGGTAGTTTCCATGTATAACTGAACTCACATTTTCATTGGCTGAAGGGCCATGCATTTATATACTCCAACATTTGATGTATGTAGATTTATTCTTAAGAATCTTATGCAACATTTCCCAAATAATTATCCTAGTTAATTGGTAATGGAGGCTAGAATAATGTGCAGGACAGAGTTTTCATATCCACAAGAACAACAGTCTCGCCCCTTAGATTCAAATAAGGGAAAGCAAATTTATTATACAGATTTTTTTTTCCTATGGAAAGTTGTCTTGATCATTTCAGATGACTAAACAATGATCAGGAAGTGGAATTCTTGACTCAAATATGCTTCCCTTGTCTATATAATGTTGTATTCCTCATATGTTTATACTGTGGAGTTCAATTTGTCAGATGTGTGCTTCATTGGCTAAATGTCTCTTTTGGCCAATTCAGTGCCTAAGAGGTCTCTTTTAGCGAAGGCTTCACAGAGGCAGCATCTTGAAGCAACAGGCAAGCTGACAGTGGATTGAAATCAGTGCAGAACCGGCTTGGCAATCTTTCTCTGACCTCATTGGGTCAAAATGAAGTGCTTCCAAAATAATGTAGTGTCTCTCAGTTCTTCCACCGGATCTGCTGAAAGAAAAGCAGAATTGGATGTGGTCAATATCAAATATAATCACATCTCCAGGTTCAGAAAATAATTAGCAAATATCTAGTCATCAAAGCCAATAGAAGCAAAGGAACCTATAAGCAACTTATGAAAAATAGATAAGATTTTATTTATGGTCAAAACAAGAAAAAGGTTACCGAAACAAAATGATCCACTGACATGGCCTAAACTCACACAGCAATATTGATTTAAAGAGCAAAACATATTTTAAAAAGGAGCAAAATTACCAGCTTTGTTTCATTTTCATCAGCTAGATAAAGTGGAATAAACAATCTTCCCATAAAACAGGCTTCAGAAATTATTTAATTAGATCCATTTCCCAAAGAGAAGTATTTAAGCTGCTGATAGGTCTTTTGAAGGTATTTTTCTACATACTAAAATCCAAAAGCAGGTGGATGATGCTTCCTACTTATGGTAAAATAAACAGAAGGAAAAAAAATAAGACAAAGGATAATAATAAGACTTCTGAAAAGGCTAGCAACTGATCTTCCCATTCACTTTGATAATCTATAAGGCTTCAAAATTCTTGTGTGATCTCAACTGGCACCAATAATAAGAAAAGGATTAAATATCAGGATATGGATACAAAATTGCTTAACCTAATGATACCAACAGTGGCAAAGAAAACATGCAACAAAACAAAGGAGTCCAGAGATAGAGCAATAGGATGTTCTCATTTCCTAATGTTTCTCAACTGTACTTGGAACAGATTCTGAGATCAAAAGTGTTTAATTTTGCTGCATGTCATTTGTGCCCAATTGATGGAGTATAGTAAAAAGTCTTGCAAATCTAAAGCACATTTATCTTTGCATTACAGAATGCCACTCAGTATCTGGGTGATACACAACAGATAGGGACAGTGGGTTTTCTTTGCTTTCAGCTTAGCATGTTATTTATTTATTATTTATTAATTTAATTTATATTGCCGCCTATTCGCCCATGGTGACTCAAGGAGGCTTACATAATGTAAAACCATATTTAAAACAAAAAAATAAAAATAAAAAACAATAAAAACTAACAAAAAGAAACAAATTAGTAAAGTACAATAGAACAAAATTTAGGAAAACAAAAAACAAAACAAAACAAAAAACGTTAGGTAAACTTAACTGATTATGATACATAAATCAAGTCATAGGGACCATTTGGCAAGCAATTGTTTTTCTAAAACAGCTCGTGAGAAATGTTGCACATTTTTTGAAGAACTACGTAAAAAGTCAGTACAATTGCAACTTTATCCAACTGGACCTACAAAAACATAAATCTGTCAGCCCTAGAAGCCATCTTTCTTTTTGGATCTTCAGGGCTGCCATATTTAGTGCATAGGCCTGCTGTGGGAAAATGGGAGAGGGGGCAGAGATAGATAGCCACAACAACATTCTTTTCTCTGGGAGTCAAGGACATTTAGCCTGCACCTGGAGAGGTGTGACTGGGAAATGTCTCCAGTTGGGACAGTAGACAAAATCACTATTTATTCATTTGAATGTATTAGCTAACCAACTCCAACAGACTTTTACTTTTATGTTTAAACAGAATGGATAAGTAAATAATGCTATATACATTAATTTCAAGTACAACTAGATATACTTTTATTTGTAAACAAGTTACCTGAATTACTTTAATAGTACCATAACAGTTGAAAGATTAAAAGGAGATCCTTAACTCAGCAGGAATGGACCTAAAGCTAAAGCCCTAAGCATTATTCTACCTTAAAGCTAAATCCAAGAATCTATTATCAAGACCAAGGTTTTTCAAAATGTATCGTATGGCTAGACAAGCAGAAAGGTTGAGTGAAGTAAATTGTGCTGCTGTAGAATATATTTGAAAATTTGGACTTGAAGTAAAAAAAGTTTTTGTTTTTGACTGGTTTTAATGTGTTTTACTGGTTTTATTGTTTTAAAATGTTTTTTTTTTAATTTTTAATTGTAATATATGTTCTGAATTGTAAACTCCCCCCCACCCCCCAGTCATTCACCAAGACGGGTGGCTATAAAAGTTGAAGAAACAAATGAACAAATAAATAAATAATTCAAGATAATTGTAAAAACAGACATATATCACAAGAAGCATAAAGAAAACTTACGTATTTTGGACATATGATGCAAGAGCAAACCCCTAATGCCTTTAAAAATTGAAGGCAGGGGAAAAAGAGCCTGGCAGAAGACGTGACATCACAAGTAGGAGCAGTTATTGACTGACTGTCAAACACCGGGACATGAAGAGTCAGAAGCTACTGAGCATATGAACAACTAAAGTTCAACTGCAAGAATTTTGGGATGATCCTTGTTTTGCCACTGGTCTACCCATATAAAGCACCATGAGAAATCTCTAAGATGAAAATCTCACATGGTTCCAACAGGCCAATCCATCTGATCTTGAACAAGGTCCTTCCCCTTCTCCCATCCTCCATATTTGCAGGTGCTTCAGCTTGATTGGCTGAAAGCAGAGCTATCTGGGTTTTGAACCACTGGCACAACAGCTTCCTTTGGAGCACAGAAGCTAGTGTATTTTTGCTAAATTAGACAGCACAGCCATTGAAGCACAGACCTTCTGTGGCAGAGGTGGGCAACTATGGCCCTTTTATGACTTGTGGACTTCAACTCCCAAAATTCCTGAGCTAGCATGGCTTGCTCAGGAATTCTGGGAGTTGAAGTCCATAATTCATAAAAGGGCCATAGTTGCCCACCCTTGTTCTGTGGGCATGTTGCTCTCTAAAGGTGGGAGGGGTTTTATTCTCTTTTCCCCTGGGCCTTAGCAAGTACATGTAACTTAAGGTGTTCTTTCTTACTGGGTTACTGAGGATACTGTCGATCTTCTCCTCTGCTGGAGAACCCCGTTCAACTTTGCACCTGTATGCCATCAGTTGCTGACGGTCCTTCAAGTCTCTGTATGTCTGGCAAATACCCAAAAGAAAAACCAATTAAACAAAATAACTATTTTTATCAACATCCTCAAAATCACAGTGATCTTCTAGACAGTCATCACCCATTCCTTCTCAGTAGCTATTTAGAAATCCTGCTGCTTCTTCCAGAGGCTGATACGGACTTCATGGCTGCTACAACAAAGATCTGGGTTTTTTTTTTAAAGCACCTTTGGGACCACCATGACCAGGATGACTGAGAATTTCCACAGACTTTTGGGACTTTCCTCAACATTTTTGGATGCAAAAGTGGCCAGCACATTCTATTACCTAGTTCATTGAGTTTACGCATAATATTCACTTTTCTATTCATTTAAGTTAAATGTGTGATAACTAGAGTGAAAGATTAAGAATAGAAGGCTAACTTTAGCTAATACTTTTCAAGCCAATATTTCTTTCTGGTTTTAGGCTAAAATGATGGAAATGGGCAAATTTAGACAAATGACGCTGCCTCTTAGAAGTCAGTGATCTTACCATCTAGCACATTATCAAATTGGCATGTTTTCATGGCTGTTATTATAGCTAAAAAAAGGGCAAGCATCTGTTTAAAGGCAAGAAGACTAAAACCAGGTCAGCAAAGAATTTTCCTAATCTTTCTACAAATGCCCTTTCCTTGACTTAGAAGGAATTCCAAAGAACCTTCTTATTGATTGACTAGCTACCAACATGACATGAATTTACCTTCTGCTTTATACTCAGAAGAAATCAATCTGGCATACATAGTATTGCCTAAATAATGTTATGGAATCTGTTGATTTTATACATTTATTACATTTGACTGAATCAATAGACATCAAGATGTCAGCAATCTTCTGCTGATATGAAAATTTAGTTCTTAAGTTGTGGAAACTGATTAACACAGCATTAAAAAACTAAAAAAAGAAGTATAAAGAAATGAACTCATAAAGTAGGGAAGGCTACTTTGAATACAACCATTGATGGATTGATTGATAAGTGAGCTCAAACTTGTAATAGAAGCCACATCTTGTTCAGTAGGCTCAAACATAATATGCTGATAGTGATATGCAAAAGCTGTACTCAGAGGTGCAACTAGCTGTTCTGGGATCTCTTTAAACATGCACATTCTAGAAGCAATTTTAATAACATAAGGGGATTGAGAGAGGCAGTAGTTCTGAAATACAAACTACGGTATACTGCCAATGATAGTTCCTCCAAGTATTTCAAGAATAATTTAGGAATTTTTCACTAAAGAATCAATTGTCTGTTCCACAATTTTCCACATAAAATATGTAAAACATACATCTATAGCAACATCATGGCACTTGTATTTCATAGCAAGATTCAGCTTAGTCTCAACATTTTCTATTAAACGCACGTACTCCTGCAGGACCTACAGGAACAAGACAAAGAAATATCAGCAGAATATTCATGATCCCTTGCTTATCCCCTCATTTAATTCCACATCAGTTTTACCCTGAAGTAAGTTTAGGTTTCTTCACCAACTACTTTTCAAAAGGCCCACTCTATAATCGAAGGTGTATTAAAAACAAACAGTGCATACCAAAGTTTTCATGAACAGTGTACAAAATTATTTGGGAAATGAACACATGAAGACTTTTCATGATAGAGGCAATGGTCTGTTGACCAGTGGACTATACCAGAAACAGACTACTAGACAGCTTGCTCACTTACCTGTACCGGGGCGTTGTTCCGCTGCAATATCTCCACCACTCGATGGAAACCAATAGGAGCTCTTTTTTTGGTATAGCCTAACCAATTCTGAAATCACAAATTGAGAAAAAGAAAATAGCACCAGACCTTGTGACTGCCTGAGGATGGAGTGCTAAACATCTCTTAGGAGAGGCAATAGTTATTCTTGGGTATCTCCTTCATTTGTTGCATATGTTGCATTTGTTGCATATGTTCTAAAGGAAGATGCATTGGACAAAGCTGCTGTCCTTTTCTGACATAAATTTACCTGTAGGTATCCCAAAATTCAAAGAAAATAATTGGAACAAGTATTTTCCTATAAATGAACTAATCCATTATGCATTGTATAAGGGCAAATAGATAAGCACATCACTAGCATAAAGAATAATCATGCCAAGTACCATATATGATTCAATGAAAATCAGTAGGGTCTCACCTTTGTTGTGAACAAAGCATCCACGTCATGCCAAGCTCGGAGTTTGGCACGAGCAGCCAGAGCTGTTAGCACATACTGTTTATCTGGAATCTGTAAGGTAAAAAAATGGAAATCCTAGAAATGGCTTGAGAGAGCTAGATTGTGATCCAGTATGAAGTAATAGTTAAAGGGATAGATCAGGTTTCAGAAAACCTAGTTCATATCCATCCTTATTTACAGAAAGCTCACTGGATGATTTGAGGTCAATCATTCTGTCAGCCCATCCTTCCTAAGCTGTTTTGAGGAAGAACTAGAGGAGAGAGTACTTTATATGTTGCCCTAACCTCTTGGAGGAAACTGAAATTGAAAATAAAGATAATTAAATCCATTGGTTGCTGAGATTCTTGTAATGAAAGCTCAATTGCATGGCATGGGTCTTGCTGTCTATAAATACAATCTGTAGCCCTGAGCTAGTGCAAAAAGAAAAAAAAATCCATCCAACATCAGGCCAAGCTGAATGTAATCCCAAACTCATAGATACCCTGTGCAGTGCATTAAAAAAAAAGGAGCAAATGAACAGATTTAAGCTCATTTCTGGTGGTAGAATATTATGGCTGTGAGTCTCTTAAGATGAACATTGTCCAATTAAGCTACTTTAACCAAGTCTTGTCACACTTCATGGTTTTAGCAGCACAATCCCTTGAATGCCTTCATTCCATAATATATATTCTCTGCATACATTTCTAGGATTGTTGGTCACTTCTAGAAGATAGAGATGTATACTTAGCAAACTACCAGCTTCCTTACCTTGAAAGTTTTCTTCAAGTTTGCTGGACTACTGAATGTTCCCTGGAAAAGAGACATTGCAATTTTTATCAAAATCTTTTAACCAAGAAAAAAAAAATTGGTAACAAGCAATATATGTAAAATTTACATAACATTTTAGAATTTTCGCCCCAAACACGAATAAAACCATTTTATATATAAACTATTTTAAATATATATTACATATTAGGCTTAAAATACTCCCAAGATTTAACATCCAAGGAAGCCCTATCTAAACTAACCGAACTAAGGATAATAGTATTTTTACGTTCATTATTTTTAAAAACTCTGCAGTATCTGAAGAGTCCATTGTCTAACATACAACATTTCAGATGCCCACTTGCACACGGTGACATGTGGCTTCTCCTTTATTCTGAAAAGACACCAGCTTCACCGATTAACATAGAGATCCCCATTGCTACCGCAGTCCTAACCTCAGTTTCTGTGTAATGGTAGAAGCAAGAGTAGAAAAGTGTGGTGACTAATGGCATGTTTAGAATGGAAGCTTTTCTAGGGTATTTTCGAAAGATTTCCGTCTGCCCAGATGACTCTAAATGTTTGTCATTTGCCTGGAAAAAAATCAGAACAAAAAATGAATTGCATAGGAATAAAGACATCTGGTGTGACATCAAAACATTTTTTCAGCTTCAAAGACAACTGGGATTAAATCCCAGCAAGTGGGTTGTAATCCTTTCCATATTTATTTTCCAGAGGTATAAGCCTATGTTCAGAAGTGTTCTTGCCTAAGAAAGTTTGGGCAGAATTGTGGTCTTCATGAATTTTTCCTAGTCGTTACCAGTTAGCTTAATTTACTCCAAGCCCTAATGAATTTCACGAAGGAGGAATAGGATAAAGATTATATTAGTAATATCTGTATCTCAGAAAAATCCTTTATTTTTCTGAAATCACATGACAATAATCATGCAAGCCCAGAAAAAGTTATGCCTTCTCTAAGGACTTCTGAAACAATCACCCAGCATCTGCCATGATGGCTTTCATTATGGCAGGCATGGGCAACTTTTTCTAGCCTTGGGGTTTAGCTGTCTTTCTTTTGTTCCATGTCTACAAGGTTTATGGCACCTGTTTTTCTCCTTAACCCTAATCCAGAAATGGGGGAGGAAAAGATTTAATATTTTGTCCCTGTCTCCTTTTCTTTTTAGTCCACAAAAAAAGCTTGGTATTATAACAAGGTCAAAGCCAAGAAGTCTGGAATAACTGTCACTGCCATGTAACCAGTGGCAGAGTGGGACCTTACCTCAATGATGATCTGTCTCTCCAAGAGTGTATAATGATCCTGAACATGAGCAGCATCCTCTGATGAAAAGGGCAACCTAGATTGGAGAAGTCAGAGGAGTTCACTTTTGCATTCTTCCTTTGTATAAAACACAACTATATTTATTCAAAAGCAAGTGCAGTGAGGCAGTCTTCTCCAATTGGGTATGCCACAAGTTCAGTTAAAAAAGAATAATTCTGGCCTTTCTGAACTTTACAAGCTATTCACTGAATACAGAAAAGGCTATGTGGGCCCAAATAAAAGGCATGTCACATATTCTACTTGATTAACTAGATGTTTATGAAAAGCTCATACAAGCAGGCCCTCAAACAACCAATAACTGGACATTACAATGCATTTGAACTTAGTAATGTTTAGGTAGCATAGCAACTATTGACAGTGTTATTCTTTATTAATTTGTCTATTTTTCTTTAAAAAAAAATTCATGTGTTGATTAGCAAAACATTTGAGGCAGTCATTTCTGCTCCTACAGTTTGAACTGTTTTCTAACCGAAACAGTCTTTTTGTTGGTCCTAAATTTGCTGGTATGGCCTTATTACAACTATAGGGAAAAACATCTCCAAAATCTATTTTCTCTACACAATGCATAACTCTGTAACTACTAGACAACCCATACCCCATCTTGTTTCAGACATACTTCCTTAACAGAGAAACAGAATGACCAAGGGGCAAAAAAGCAGTGGGAACAGGAACAACTTCCAATTTCTTTCCAGTTTCCCCTTTGAATTTCCTTGTGGGAAGTTGGCTGGGATCATCTGAAATCTCCTCTCTCCCCCCCCCCCTTCCTTTTTTCAGCAGGCAGGTTAATGGCTGCTGTTAAGTGGGGGAGGGACTAAGGGATTGCAAGACAGTCTGGGAAACTGTCACAGAAATGAAAAATGAAGATCACATGATCACATCAGCAGCCCAGCAGCAGCCAGGAGGACTGAAAGAGCCACAACTTCCCCAAATTTCAATCCCCCAGGAGTCGTAGGTACCAGATTTTGGACACGTCCTGTAAGTTAGCTCATTTGAGGTACCTTGGTTCAAAAACTGTTGTCATGTGATGCACCATTTCACACAGTTAAAAGCCAGGGAAAGCATTTTAGTGGAATATAGATGATGCTATTTTCCTTATTTGTACTTTCTTCTCCCCAAAGAAAAGCCTCTTCCTTGCAGCTTTCTGTTGTTTTTACTTTCTGAGAAACAATAGGCTTCCTTCCCATTAAAGCCACAACTACTTTAAGGCTTATTCTCAGTTTATTTCTCCATAACTTTCACTTACCCAATGCAACTTTTCAGAAACTCTTTTGTTTTCTCAGCATCAGAGATAGTCAAATGTTCATGGTATTGGGTCAGCTGGAGATGGTGAAAACAAGACAAAACAGACTCAGGAGGAGAGCAGATTAAATATTCAATCAAGGCTGGGTAGCCCTGGCCCTATCTACTCCAGAGGGATTAGGAATATAATTTCCATTTTTCCTAACTGAGAGTTAGTACTGTGTGGCTTGCCTTCAATTTCTCAGCATATTATTGTTCCTCCCACTAAAAAAAAAGGAGTCTAGGCAACATGGGATACTCACTGCAACTTCCTCAGTCCTGCCCAGGAATCTAGAAAGGAAAAAACCCATGTATCAGACCTGTTCAACTTCCTGATCAGACGTCAGTTTTGGCTGTATGCTCACAAGGGCTTTTACCTCAACAGGTCTAGGAGAAGTTTTTGGTCTCCAGTCTCCTTGAGAAAATGTATTAAATGGCGCAAAGCAACTTGCCGCATCTCCAGCTCTCTGAACAGGATCTCTAGTTGTAAAGAGAAGAAGTGCTTGTCTAACAAGATCAGGCCTGAGTAATCCCCTCACTCTTTCTTTTGCTTAAGTATTTCACATCTGTTGGCCATCCTGGAAAGAGAGGATGGGAAGGGTAGTCCTATACATCTGGAGGGCACAAGGTTGGGACAAGTCAGCTTACTATATGGTCAACTAACTAGAACAAATGAAAGGATCACCTTAGCTATGCCAGTATACTGCATCTGGTCAGTGCCTTGCCTTTAGCTAATTAATGGGATGGAGGCAACAGAATGGTGGCTTATAAGGGAGTCTCTTAGAAATTCCAGCTTTGTTGTTGTATTTGTGGCATAGTGCTAAAATATGTAAAATCTGACCAGTATGATCCTTCTCATTAAAAGGGAATGCTGCAATGTAACAGTTAATCAGTCAAAAGAAAGAGGGTTAGCATGTGATTCAATACTGGAATAAAAAATTAATTTTAGCTCAAAACAACACTGTGGTTCAGTCTGCTAGTTCAAGGCTAAATTCATTCCCTGTTCAGCTGTGCTGTCCAAAGTATTATTTCAATAGCTGACAAGCTGAAAGAGGATAGCCTTATTTTATATGTGATGGAAAAGATAGTTTACACACAGCAAAAGTTCTAACAAGAAAGAAAATCTGACACACTTCAGCTAGCCAACATATGATTACAAAAATGGTAAATTTGAATCTGCCACCAAAAAAGATGCTCTTTATAGAATGTAATACGTAGCATGACAGTATTTATGGCAGTGTTTTTCAATCTTGGCAAATTTAAGATGTGTGGATTTCGACTCCCAGAATTCTTCAGCCAGCATGCAGGCTGGAGGATTCTGGGATTTGATGTCCACACATCTTAAGGTTCCTACCTTTGAAAAAACTTATCTACACTGATGAATAGGAAGTGGTTTCTATGCTCGGTAGATCCAATTACAACCATACTCTGTGCAGCTATGATGTTTTCTCCACTATATATAAAGACATTTCAATTTAATTCATGAGATTATAAAATCAATTTATACTGCCTAAAATGGCTGTCTTGAAAAACACAGGGGATCTGTCAGCTTGACTTGTGTGAGGCTATACATACTTTATACAGATAGATTTATAAATCTATTTGGAAATCCTGGACGTTACATACCTTTCCTTAAGGTTCTTTTCAGAAAAATGAGTATCTGCAGGAAAACAGACAGAACCAGGGTCCATTATACCGTCCATTTACCCACAATTGATTGATATCTTGCCTTTATTTGTACAACTGCTAAGCCAGATCTTTATAGATTTAGAGCAAAATCATCATCAGTATGATGACAAATTTATTTCTATTTTCATCAGATCCAAATAGGCAGTGAAAGTGATGAATTGGTCTCTGGCGATCTTATTCAACAAGGGGCAAAAAAAATTAAGCTCCGTCCAGGCAAACATTGGTGCTATCGGGGCATAACTCATGTATTGATGAGTTATCTTCTAGATAACTTCTAGACAGGACTGCACATTCCTCTAAAGGATCAAGTTTGTCCTTCTGGGTCCATCTTTAACAACAACCATTTGCCTCTGTGGAACAAAGAAGCTTTAATGCTCCTTGGGTAGGGAGGCAATCAAAAACTGGAAAAATGTAATGGGGAGCACATACACTCATTTCTTGTCTGGTAACTGTATTCTGATCCAATGACTTGGTCATTAAGTGAAATGGTCTCCAAGTGAACATGTGACTGAGACAGAGAGAGGGAGAGGGACGGAAAGGGAGAGATCTGTGACTGCAAAGATCACTCGGTGCTGCCATCTCATTCCGATAAAAGTTCTCTTATATACAACGTCCTGTGCCTGGTCTGCTCCCCCCCCCCCCCCCCTTTTTTTTTTTTTTTTTGCCTCCTTGAAGGGCAGAAAGATTGCTTAAATAAGTTATCTCTTCCTGACCTGCTCTTCTCTGCAGTGGAGATGTCCCTAAAAAGTGCTACCCATAATAGCAACTTAACAAGCTCAGCCCCTGGGACCTTATTGATTGATTGATCAGATTTATTTGGCTGCCTATCTCAAGCAGCAATACTGGGCAGCATGCAGTTAATTAGCTATTAGAACCCTCCCATCAGCTTGCACTGCTGCCCGAAACTGACTTGATATTAATCAATTTCACACTCAATTCTCTTGTTGTCAGGCAGGGAAATTGTGTAAATGTGAGCATTTACGAAATTTGAAAATGATTTATTATTATTATTAATTACTGTCATATTTGCAAATGGTTGCTAACCAAAGTAATTGCTAAATAAGGAGTGGCTGTAGTTCTCCCTGTTTATAACTGGTCATATATGCCCATTGGCAACTATTTTGTAAAAGTGTGGGAAACATCCTCCCTAAATTTCAAAAGTGTTCACTAGTTTGGAAAAAAAAATACATTGGTGGCCCCTGTTTGCATGATCATTTGGATTTTTTGAACATTTAAAAAATAAAATAAAATAAAAATATTTAAGGGGTCTTATAATATTAATTCACTCTTCATTTCTTGGCGGCAAGAGTAGCTGAACCAATGCGTTCCAAAATATTTTGTAGCAGCAGCAGCAGCAGCAGCAAAAAAAAAAAAAAAAAGGTCAATTGCCTCATATAGAAGATCCCAGCAATTCAGGGGAATAATTTATGAAAAAAATAGAAAAATAACCATGTTCTCATGTACAGAAATATAAATTAAATGGGTCAAACTGAACTGCCATTCCCCCCTCTTCCCCCCTCATTGGAGCAGGACTTACAGCTGTAATAACATTCCCATCATGCAATGCAACAGCTTCATCCAGTAGCAGTAATTTGTCCTGCAAGGAATGGAACCTTTCCAAGGAACACACCTGGAGTGAGATTCATAAACAAAAACAATATTGGAAAGATCTATAACTACAATACCTGGCTAGTGTGTAGTAGTTATAGATCCAGTGGATCCATAAGAGAGACAACCAGTGGAAGTGATTGCTTTCAGGGAGACAGCTTTAGCCTAATTACAAGCCCCAGAAACCTCAGCCACTGAGAAAAACAGTTTGTCATTTAGTATTATACCTCTGGGTTTACATCATCAAGCGCCTATAGTAGAATCCTCTTACTAGCATATTCAGGAAAACCTTGAAATCATTTAAAGTTAACTACACCAGCCAAGTGTTCAGGAAGAACCCCAGTCATAACTCTGAGGATCCATAAGAATTAGAGGTTCTACTTGTATCTCCCTGATAATCCTTCCTCAAGTAATTTCATTTATTTCCTAATTCCCCATGGCAAAGGAAAACTAATTGTGGATCATCTCTTTGTCTTCTAAAGATAGCTTGTTTTCCCTCTGGCCATCAATGGAGAGTTCTCAAGAATTTAAACCAAACTGATGGATTTTTTTCCCCCGCTCCGAAGTTGGCAGAACATAAGATATAGTTGTAATATAAAATAGATTATGGCAGTAGAACTAACTTGTTTGTCCTAGCATAATTTCTCATTGGTCTTCCTGCGGCTTCCCTTCCCTTTGCACAGTAAGATATCAAATGTGTCTTTCCAACAGAAAAGGAAACTACTAATAACCATATTGCCATGTGACTATGCAAAAATAGTGTGAGAAACCCTTCCAGATAGATAAGATAGATAGATATAGTTAAAAATTAATAGGTTCAAAAGTAGGAATAATCCTGGTTGCTGTTGTTAATTGAATTCCATAGCTAATAAGGCAACTTTCTGCTGGCTTTCCACAACCAAGTCATTGGGAAAGCAAGCAGGAACTTGCAAGTTTCAGGTGGCATTCAAGCAGGCCAGCAGGCAGACAAATGACTGCTGCAAGATGGGGGAGGGCCTGAGGGGGTGGATGGAGATGCATGGAAGGCATAGCAAGGCTCTGAAAGTTTGAGGGAGCGCATGAAAGACATAGTGAATTGTGAGAGGGTGCACAATAGTGCAAGGGAGGAGCACCAAGGCTCAGAGAGGGTGTGCCAGGGTTCACAATGAGGCAAGGATTGGAAAGGGTGTGCAGGGGAGGCATGATGAAGGTTGGGGAGGTGTGCGAGGATACAAGGAGGTACACAAGAGACAGTGTGGGGATGTATGCAAATGGGTGAGATATACCAACAACAACTTGCAATGTTCCCTGCCTGTTTCCCCACTGACTTTCTGGGGATGCCGGCAGAAATGTTTGCAAATCGCTATCATGTTATTGTTGGCCTTCTGCAAGTGGCTGCAAGTGCAAGCCAATTGCCAAAAGCATTTAGATCACAATCACATGACTGCAGGAGGTTGGTACACTTAGAACTCTGGAAACCGGTCATAACTACCATCCGTTTAGAGCCCCATTGTAATTCTTAATGGTTGCTGAATGAATGGCTGTAGGTTGAGAATTAACTGTAGCTTCTAAATTTTTTGAAGCATAAGATGAGCTTTCAGAAAGCTCATCCTGTTTCCACTTCCTACCTTGCCTCTCTGTAGCCGTTTTACTGTATCGTTAGGGCTCCAATCAGAATTGTAATCCTGAAAGAGTAAAAAGAAAACAAAAACCACTGATAATGCCCTATGTGCTTTGAAACATCCAATTATGACTTGTGACTAAGAGATATGGGGGGAGAGGCAAATAACATTTCAGGCATCCTACCAGGCAACTCTCAGAGGGCTTGGAAACTTGAAAAAAATAATCTAGGAATACAACGTAATGGCAGGATAGGAATCTTGGGTTGGAACCCATGTTTTTAATTTGTCACTAGTTTAATCACTGAGAGCACTTGGGCATGTTTTGCCTGCAAATGTGAAGCTACAGGGGAGATTTGATAGCTGTCTTACATAGCCACTGATTTTAGCTGATCCTGCATCAAGGAATAGTTTGAGCCAGATGACAACTAAAGGTTTCTATGATCTAATCTCTTTTCTTTTCAAACATTAATTAAGAAAAAAACCTCTTTTAATCTCTTTTAAAATTTGGAACATGCTGCTAAAGCAATATATTTGCCTGAGAAAACACCGTTAGCAAACCATGCTATAGTTACTGTTTCAGAAGCTACCAATTTCCTTGCCTAGACTTATAGCCCAATTATATACATAGCGTATGCATAGTTGTTTAAGTGTCCTTGGGCAAAAAGAGATGATGTGAGCTTTTACATTCAGGATAAGATTTTGTCATCTGATTCTAAACTATTTAAATCTCCCCTTCCTTCAGATTCCAATAAATATACTAACCTTATAATCTCCTTTTGGTCTGCGTAATGCTGGGGCATAATTTTTAATTCCTGTGTCTGTAAGAGCTGAAAAAGGAAGAACAGAAAAAGGAAGAGCAAACTTTCTGAATTAAGTTCTCATCTTTCTATGCTTTTTGCCCTTTCTATGGCTCATTGTGACTAAGTTTGATTCAGCACCAAAGTAACAATAATGCCAGTTAAAGCAACAAACAAGATCAATGAAATTAAGAGTCTGAACACACACAAAAACCAAACAAAGCAAACAATGGCAATTTCAAGGTTATTATCTGCCAGAGTCCAAATAATGTCCTGATTCTTGTCTTAACTATTAGGATGTATGCTTTAAAATACTGAAATTAAATTACTGAAACTTTCAAATGCCAATTCATCCTTCTTCTCAACTGATGTTTCAAAAATCTTTGAAGAGCTGGAATTTATGCTATAAGCTACCCTTAGTCATTTTGAAATGAAATGGGTGAAAATAAATAAATTAAATAAATAAATAAATAACTTCTGGCATGGGGTCTGGAGATTAGGTGAGCATTCAATGTGATTTTTGGGGATGACTGTTGTTACATGGATTTGATTAAAATTTCTTCTATTATCTTCTTGTTCTATCTCAATCTGTTGATTTTTAATCTCCTGTTAACCACCCAGAGATGCAACTGGCAAGATGGAAAACTATATAAATTAATATAATAAACAAACGAACACATGAATGTCCCAAAGGTGCTTTTTTTTCAAGAGGCAGTTGGACCTTTGGGATACCTTTGGGACAACCCTGACCTGGATGACTGAGAATCTCCACAAACAGATGAATCTGCTTTGTGATGACACTTGAACACTTGGTTGCTTCATTTGGATATGGTACAAGGAGTGGGCTGCAATCCTGCTCTATAGAAAGAAATACATACTCCTCTGTGCAGAGGCAGCCCTACTCCTGTTCTCCAGACTCAGCATGGAACGTGGGCTGCAACTTCTAGCTGCTATATCCTGGCTTTCTTTCTATTCCTATTGGCAGGGACCTGACTACATCCTGAACTCAACAGAGGTCACTTGTCTTCAGTAATTTCTTGAGAGTTTTTCTTTGGAGAGTAAACTCTGAATGAAATGAAAGGACAAGGATTGCAAGGAAAGGCTAGAGAGGATATATATAACAACCTTCCTTTTAGCAAGCTTAAGACAAAATCCAATCTTCTTACCATCTGAAAGTGACTGAAAACTCCCATGCTTATTTCTTCCTAGAAGCACAAATACGAAAGACAGAAATGAAGTCATTATTTCATCTAACTAGAAGCTTATTCAGCCAATAACTATTTAAAAAATGCCAAACAACATGTATTAAGATGTATAATTGCACAACTTCTATGAACATCTCATTTAACAATGTTGAACAACTGCTGAAGACTGGACAGATTTTTCCCCTTTTCTCAAGGACCAACCTTTGCCTATTCTGCATTCATCCTGTTGCCAAAATTGTTAATTTAACTGGAAATATAAAGAGAAGGAAAACATTGTATTTCAAATAAAAATATAAAAAAGCATTAAAACTGTGACTTTTTTCACAATAAGATACTAGGTAATAAGTGTATAGAGTGCATAACAAATGTTACCTTGCACAGACTTGCTATAAAAATTGAAAAACAACTTCTCTAACACTCTGCCAATCACAAGTTGGTGAAGAGCCAGAGATAAGGAAATATTTTGATCAGGCAAGCTGAAACATTCAATTCTGAGGATAGCTCTGTTGAACAAACTCCCCCGTAATCAATACTCTACCTTTAAAAAAGCTGCTCAGTGAGTAGGAAGAGGATTGCTTGGGTATAGCTGCATAGGAAGAGCCCTTTGGCTGACTCAGATCCCTCCCTTCAGAGGTACTGTTGCTACTGCTGCTGGAGGCAGTCTCTTTGATTGACCATGAAATGCCTATAAAAAGATAGAGGAGGGGAGGGAGGGGGGGGGAGAGAGAGAAACAGTATAATTCTTTAGCAAATAAAAATATTAATTAATTTATCTTGGAAATTTATTACTTTATTTATTTTTATTTTATTTTATTTATTTGTTTTATTTATTTTGGAAATGGCAAATTTTCAACTAAACAAAAAATAAACAGTATGCTTAGTACAGGTATCATGATAATTTACAACAGTAGAATAATATTTTTAGATATTTTAATTCTTTTCTGCTTGATAACATAGTTTTATAAAGTATTTTTATAAGGTAGTGATTTCAAAATGTTAAATATATAATTTTAGATATTTTGTATTTGGACTTTTTTTTTTCTATTTTTTTCTTCTGTTTTTCTCTTTTAGGTTTTTTGTAGGTTAGTATTTCAAAACATGGCTTTATCAGTGGGTGTAGAGACCACGAATGGAGATGGAGCCGATCAAGTGGCTGATTTGATTTGTGTTATTGCTGCCATAGAGGATAGGGTGGTTTTTAAAAAAATAGTTTTATTATATAGTGGCTTTGTTAAATTTTGTAAGCCACCTAGAGTCACTTATGTATGAGCTGGGTGACTATATAAATTTATTTAATACATAAACATTACAATCTTTTTTACAATCAAGATTGCAAAATCTTGAGACATAATGTAGTATTATATTAACATCGTTGACATTTATGGGTTTTCTCATTAATTACTTATTAATGTTTAAACGATATTCCAAAAGGATGCCAGTGACCAGCTCATATGAGTCAATTAGCCCTCAATATTGTTATACCTCAAACTAAGAAAAGCTGATATTCACTATATTATTTGTGGAATTCAATAAACTCAAAATACAATTTTTGATAAATCCATTTCAAATCTGTCAATACCAATTTAAGGTATTCTTAAGAACTTACAGACATTGATATAGCATTAACAGATATTGCAGTTCTTTGATTATAAAATACATAAAGGATTTACTTTGAAGTTACTGGAGAGACTATCAATTTCTTGCCTTTATTAATTTTTCTTATTAAAAAAGGAAATTTGGGCACAGGAAAATGAAGCCATTAGACTTTGTCACCACCCAAATTTTAGACATGGATCTTCTCCAAAATACATTTAGGAATACATTTAGCAATTCTGATTGATAGCTGCAGCATCAACCAAGGTACATAGACTTATGCTTTCAAAGGAATTTCCTCAAATCAAACGAAGCATTATTGCACTTACTGCCCACACGTTCCCCACTCCAGCTGAACCTCTCAAGGTCGTCATCATCATCATCTAAAATATCTGGAAGGTTTTTGACTGTTCTCTTGGATTCTTTCAACTAGGAATAAAAACAATGTTAGGATGAAGTCTGGATTATTATACTTTGTGTTCTGATTAGAGTTGGAGCATTTAGTGGAACTGCTATATTTTCTATTGTGTGGGACCACTGTAAGATAGTTCATCTCTTTAGACAAACCCCAGATTTTTTTAAATATGCAGTCCCTATTGACTTGGGCTACAACCATTCTTCTCAACGAAACAAATATTAGTTCTGTCATAACTCCATAGGTTAGATCAGTACTTCTAAATTTCTTGAAATGTGCACTATTACAAATTCTTATTAAACCTGAGAAACCTGAGCATTTCTTCCAGTTTCCCATGATTAAGTTGAATAAAGGCCACAATGTTTTCCTTCTATAGAATAACCACCCCTTTCCTTTCATCAGGCTGCTTTCAATGGTCCTGCAGCCAATGCACTCTGAAGCACTTCTTCTGAATCATTTGCAAAATTTGCACAGCCTTACTAAATTAGAATTAGGACTGGTAGAACTGGAACAGGATTATACTTTGTTGCAGGGTTGATACATTTTTAAACTGGTGGCCCTGTTATTGGATTCTCACCCAGGATCCTCCTCCATCATTGGCAGTTAAAAATAATATGTTATAGCACATAATCCTCACTTTTCTGAAGAGGAAAGTCTTAGCAAAGGTAGTTTCCTAGGAGACCAGATTTTAAAGATGCCTCCTTACTGAAGAAGTATCAAGTGCTATCTCCTGAGATGGAATAGAACAATTTGAAAATACTTCATGGGCTCAATGCTGTCCCAGCCATCTTCATTAAACCTACTTTTTAACAAAGAAAGGAAATTCAGTTCTGCATCGTGTATTGCAAAAATTATACACATCCAAACAAGCTTCCAATTTATAACAAAATCTGCAAAGTTGTCCCTAAATTTCTTTAAAGCAAATATAAAATACAAATACTAATTCTATGTGCAGATTTCTACGTTCTGCAAAAATTCTGGCAAAAGCATGAAAATGCTTTTGCCTGAATTGTAAGGCCCTTTGACCATTTTTTTCATGAGAAAAACTATACCTGAAGTAGTTCATCGTCTTCATCGTCAAAAGTAAAGGCCTTACATTTGGAACTGTTCCAATATTCTTCTTCATCAACCTTCACCTTGTTCATCTGCAAAATAAAATTTATCTTTTCGACTGCAATTGCAATGTACATATCTAGAGTACAGCATTATTTACTACAGCCAAATTAAAGAGAGAAGAAAAGGACCTGTATTCTGGATATTCTCAAAACTATAATGCATAGCCACTGAAACAAAAGTATCAATCTAACTAGTACCTATGAATAACATACTATGAGGCAGATCCAAGAAAAAAGTGACAGAATATCTTTCAACTGACATTGCTCCTATCCTATTCTACTGACATTGCTCCATTGCCATTTTGATGTATCACTTGTCAATACATCCTGAACAATATTTTACACATCTACACATTTAGGTAAAGGTAAAGGTTCCCCTCGCACATACGTGCTAGTTGTTTCCGGCTCTAGGGGGCAGTGCTTATCTCTGTTACAAAGCCGAAGAACCAGTGCTGTCCGAAGACGTCTCTGTGGTCATGTGGCCGGCATGACTAAACGCCGAAGGCACACAGAATGCTGTTACCTTCCCACCAAAGTGGTCCCTATTTTTCTACTTGCATTTTTACATGCTTTTGAACTACTAGGTTGGCAGAAGCTGGGACAAGTAACAGACAAGTAATCATTACGCAGTGCTAGGGATTAGAACCGCCGAACTGCTGACCTTTCTGACCGACAAGCTCAGTGTCTTAGCCACTGAGCTTTACAGAACTTCTATTCCCACACATGAAATACCAGTTGCCAAAGGTATCCCAATAGAGTCTCCCCATAGGATGTCAGCTCTCGTACCAAGATAAAAACCAAAGTCAAAACTATCAAAATTATATTTCTCAGAATACTTTAATATTCCCTTTTAAATAAATATTTAATGAAACATAGCTCAACTGAAATGAACATAGCTATTAAATTGGTGCCACACGTTTCCCTCATTAGTTTTAAAAGATTCACTGAATTTGTAGCATAAGAGTTGTTGCTAACAAATACATTTTCTGAATACCATATGCTAAGTAAGTAAATAAGTGTAGAACAAATTAGCACTCCAATTTTAAAGGGGTTGTTTTATTGCAGATTTAGTCACTTATCTGGAGCCAATTGCCCTCACATGAGAAATTGACTTATGTACTGTTCTGAGGTAACTTTACACCTATACCTTTGCAGTTCAACTAAATTTAATACGTGTACACTTGTCTATGTGTGTGATGAATTGGACCAAAAAAGTTACATCCAGGGAATATTTCACTCTAAATATAAATTAACTTTGGGCTTATGAAGGAATGAATGTGCATTACTTTAATTCGCTTGAGGCAAAACACAGCTGCAAATAAATTTGTACTGCATTTATTCCTGACGTTTAATCCATTCACCTTCTCCTCCCCGTTAGTATTTTGGAAGGAAGGCCCACGTTTTCTTTCATCTTCACCCTCAACTATAATTCTAATAATATTTTAACAGCATGGGAGAAGAGGGGGACAAAATTGCATTTGCCTGCGTTTTTCCCTTTTCTCCTAGGACTGTCCTAAGCTTAAATGAGAGAGACGGAGTGAGAGTGAGTGAGTGAGTGAGTGAGTGAGTGTGTGTGTGTGTGTGTGTGTGTGTGTGTGTGTGTGTGTGTGTGTGTGTGTTCTCCACCTACGCGAATTACAGCGGCGACTTCCCTCCCGGAACCCAGACCAGCCAGAGGCACCTTTTACATTCTCTACCCTAAACTGATGGGAGGAAGCGGTACCCCTCCAACCTAGAAAGTAATGACGCCCCCAAAAGAAACAAGCGGACCCAGATACCCTCGAAAAAGCAGGCCAGACCACGAGAAACGAGAACGAGTAAACCGGCCAAGTCTCCGATCATGCGGGGTGGCGGTCCATGTTCAATAGCGAATCCGCCCTTTTCCCGGCGGAACGACTCGGTTGGGTCCCCGGCTCTCGGATACCGCCGTAGCCAGGGAGAGCAGGCTGCCTCCGAAAAGCATCACGGGAATGATGTTTTCCAAGCTGTAGCCTCGCCTTTGATATATCAAGAGGTTATTGCTGCTGAAGGAAACTACAAATCCCAGCACGTCCCCGTGTCTTGGTTTCCCGGGACGAAATGTCTTAAAAATCGAACTACAAGTTGAAATATAACATCCATGGAGCCATACTTCCTTTTCCGCTTCCTGCTTTACTTCGCTTTCCTGATTACGGCATCACGGAGGAGTCAATATTCTTCCGCTGAGCGCCGCTGCAGTCAACTAGCTAAAGAGCTAAGCAGCGTCAGAGATCAAGACACTCCTGATTAGCGGAACCATACATAGCTGAGAGCGTGGAGATACAGCGAGGACAAACCTATGGAGAATAATGAAGAGTGTGCCCAAAGGACTGGATTTTGTGTAAAATTTTTTAACTCTGGGCTTATGAATGAATGAATGTGTATTACTTTAATTCGCTTGAGTCAAAACCCATACGTGAACTATACTATAGCCACAAAAATGATATACGTAACAGAACTTCGAAAAATGTGTACTTCAGGATGGGCCCATCGAGGGTATCATATTTACAAAAGCCTTATAGGCAAAAAAGGATTTTGCTACAATGCGTGTCACCTTTACATTCCTGTTAGCCAAAGAATAATGCATGTGAAAGTCAACTAGATGGCCATGCAATTTTGCTTTTAGGGCTGTGGGAGTCTTGAAACAGAACTGGTATCAGAAAATCATTTTCTTTTCCTAATAGTGACCATCCAAAGTTACAACAGCACTGTAAAAAGTGCCTTATGATCATTGCAGCGGTCCTCATGGTCACGTGATTTACATTCAGATGCTTGACAACTGACTCACATTTATGACGGTCGCAGTGTTCTGGGGTCAAGTGACCTTTTACGACCTTCTGACAAGCAAAGTCAATGGGGAAATCAGATTCACTTAACCGTGTTACTAATTTAGCAATTGCAGTGATTCACTTTAGGTATGTGGGAAGTCAAGTCATAAAACGGGGCAAAACCCAACAAATTTCTCACTTAGCAACATAAATTTGGGAGTCAATTGTGATCGTAAGTTGAGGACTATCTGTATCTCACTCACAGGCTTCTTTTCAAGAGAGTTTCTACGCTATCCTGCACCCTTCTTTTGCTCGCGGCAGCTGTTATGGTGGAGACTCGCCAGACTTTAAGCTTAGTTTCCCCCCCCCCCCCCCGCACGCCCCAACCCCCACCCCGGAGATTCACTCAGGTCGACCAGGTGCTACCACTCGATTCAGCTAAGCAGCCCGAAAAAGACAGGGAGAAAGCGGTTCCCGCGCGATCTGTCGGTTCAATGGAGCAGAGTTCTTGCACCACGGAGAAGCCCCAACCAAACGGCACTCGGGGAACAACACCGAGAGCAGCGGCGCATCTAATTTTTTATTTATTTATTTTTATTTGTCAATTGCTTACAACATAATAGGTGTAAGTGAAAACATAGTTATGAATACATGGACACATATAAGAAAAATAATATATATATATATAAAAGAAACAATAGGACAGGGGCAGTAGGCATGTTGGTGCACTTATGCAGACCTCTTAGGAAAGGGGTGAGATCAATAGTAGACAGTCTAAGGTTAAAGTTTTTGGGGTTTGGGGAAGAAACCACAGAGTCAGGTAGAGTATTCCAGACATTGACCACTCTGTTGCTGAAGTTGTATTTCCTGCAATCAAGTTTGGTGCGATTAACCTTGAGTTTGTATCTATTGTTTGCTCTTATTGTTTTCCCAGCGCATTAAAACACACCAACCACCGATGCTTCTTTCTCTCCTACACCCCCTCCGTTTCTATGGCACCTCTTTGGAGGTGAGAGGAGAGGAGGAGGGACGGAAGGAAGCTCGGCCGGTGACGGAAGTTGGGAGGCGGCGGCCGCTCTCTCTCCCACGCCCCCTCCGTTTCTATGGCACTTCTATGGAGGGGAGGGGAGAGGAGAGGAGGAGGGACGGAAGGAAACTCGGCCGGTGACGGAAGTCGGGAGGCGGCGCGGTACCGGCGCTTCTAGTAGCTTCCAGAGAGGCGAGGAGGAGGTGGAGGCAGCGATCGGCTTGGACGGGAGCGGACGTGGCGGTGGCGGCGGGAGCTGCTTCTTCGGGGCGCCGATGGCCAAGTGGGGAGAAGGGGACCCGCGCTGGATCGTGGAGCAGCGCGCCGATGCAACCAACGTCAATAACTGGCACTGGTGGGTGAGAGAGAGAGGACGCTGTGGGGCAGCCCCGTTCATTTCTGCTCGGCCGGCCGCTTCGCCCAAGATTCCTCGGCGTCTCTCTCTCTCTGCCTGGTGTTTTCTCCGCAGGAACCTTGGCCGGGATCCACGGGGACTTCTTCCCAAGGACGGGGCACGATTTGCATGGGCTTGAGCCAGGCGTCTCCAACCTTGGCCACTTTAAGCCTGGCGGACTTCAAACTCCCCGAATCCCCCAGCCAGCAAAGCTAACAACAAATCAAGGACAATCCCTGTATTCTGTGACAGATTTGCTCACTTTCTAGCCAGAAAGATTGTATTCCATGGATGGAGAGAAACTATGCTCTCTATAGTGCATGAGTTTCAGGTTATCTAGGGAAGCAGTTTGAGAGCAAGGAAAGCATATTAATATGACATGACTTACAAAATGTAGAAAATGAAGAATTCTGGTTACGGCAGAAGAGCAGTTCATTAGGGGATAGGCACTTTGTGCCTTTCTACCTTAGCACGTTGATGTATTTGTAAGAAAAGAATCTCCTTCCTAGATTATACTCATCTAGTACAATATTCTGTGACCAGAAATTGCTGGGTTATACAAATCAAATTAATTTTATTGCAGATTAATCCATTGTTGATTGGACAAACTCCATAACTACGCAGCACCTCTTTGTACAATTATAGTCTATGTGCCAGGTTCCAGTAACAAAGAGAACAACTGTTATCATCATACTGTGTAAGTTTTGTCAAGAGCTACTTTTGGTGACAGAATATTGAATTATATGAATCTTGGATTAATTTTGATCTGGTTTAAGAAGGACACTCTTATTGCTGAAAATAAAAATGCTTGAAAATTCTATGGATGTAGAATAGTTATTCACAATCAGTTGGCCTTGCACATTGATTTTCATGTCAGAAATTCAGGTTTTGATCTTTTCTTAGAAGAGGTAGAAGCACCAAGCAAAACCTGACTGATCTTAGAAAAAGCTAGGCCATATTTATACTTGAAAGGTATTCCCTAAGGAAATATCATAAACTCTAGAAAAAGTCATTGGCAAATTCCTCATTGTTGCCAAGGAAACAATGTTGGAGGTGTCCATGAGTCACTAGGAGTTAAGCTCAACCAAAGTGAGATTTTTATGTTTACCTGCTCACGTTGTAATTGTAATCAAAATAATGACTGTAAATTTGGCTCATTTAGCTCTTACTAGTGGAAAAGGATAAATTATGAAAAAGTTTACTTATAATAATATGCGAACCAAGAATTCTGGCTTTTTCCCATCTTAGCAAGCAAGAGGCAAAAGTTGTGTTATTTCTGGCTTTCAGTTACTTCTGGTTTGGAGAAGACAGAATTGGTTTCTGGTTCACAATATACAATAAACTTCAGAAGTTTCTGCAGTTTATTTAGTGTCCCTGCTATTAGAAGAGAGCCACATCTTTGAACATTATGTACTATGAGACAGAATTTTTGGAAAGCCCTTATTGTGACTTACAGCACTTCCAATATATAGTGAAAAATGAATTTTGAATAAGTTGGCAGATTCAGATAATTGTCTGACTATTGGCCAAAAACAAAATGTGCCATATTTTTTAAGGGTTGACGTGCATTAAATTACTTGGGTAAAAATACTTTTTGCAATTTAAAGAGACTATCATGTTATACACTATTTAGGGACAGCAATAGTTATCAAAACAAGGTAGGTTCCATGCAAGCATGGTTACAGATGCTGGTTGCTTCTTGCCCCTGGGAACTTCAGTCAGTCCTGTTGGCTTAGCACATTAAATGCAGACTATAGTCCATCTTTGGATAACTAGAAATGTGAGCACTACTAGTATATCATGAGGGAATTGTGGTTATTAGACTGCAGGATACCTCAAAAAAAGGAAAGTGAAACAACTATATTAAATAAAGTTATAGCACAGGAAATAGTAAGAGGTCCTGTAGCTTTTGAACCTAATTGCCAGTTCAGTTCCAAGGAAAACAAGTGTAGAACCATTGAGGTTGTCAGCTGTTTTTTCCATCTTTTCCTGCCTCATATTAAGCTGAGGAAGAAAGATAATGTAAGTCAACTAGTAGCAAAATTTGCAGAGGTGAACAAATTACATACTCTTGGTACAATTCAATGTAAAATACACAACACCGCATGTTTAAACACTTTAAGGACTTTATTATATATGAGCATAAGTGCAAAGTGTGTGCTATTGCACTTTTTCATTTTTCTCCGCTCTTAGGACTGAAAGAGATGCATCTAGCTGGTCCTCAGAGAAGCTGAAAACACTTTTTCTGACTGTTAGAGTTGAGAATGAAGAGGGGACTTGTGAAGTGACAGAAGTGAGCAAATTAGATGGGGAAGCCTCTATCAACAACCGCAAAGGAAAACTGATTTTCTTTTATGAATGGAACATTAAATTGTCTTGGAAAGGTGAGTTACTATTTTATTTTTATACAAGAAGACAAACATTGAATACTAGATATCACAAAATCAGAATCTCTGAAGTGTTTTCAAAGAAATACAAATGGGATTGAAGCATTTATATTCCATTTCTAGAATGCCAAAACTTGTCAAAATTTGTTGGGAAAGTGACATTGAACCAAGGTTTTAATTTAAACTATTTCTGTTTTATAGGCACCTCAAAAACAGGTGTAATATATAACGGTCATGTGGAGATTCCCAATCTTTCAGATGAAAATGACATGGATGACATTGAGGTAAACCTGATAGTTCTCAGAGCTATTTCATTGGAAAGGAACTGCAGATCTCATTACTGTTGTTTTTGGAGGATTGTGGTTCCCCTTTATTTCTCTGCTTGATTCTCTCTCTGTGTCTCTCTCTTTGTGGGTGGGTTATCATAAATTGCATCATAAAGAGGTGTGCTTAAAATAGGAAATATATTTTGTTCTGCACTCGGAACAACCCATTGCATTCTGGAAGTTTTGTCAAACCGTTTTGGATTGGCCCACAATTTGACAGAAACAAAACTTGGAATGTTACCTACTTTGTTGTAGGTTTCAGCTAAAACAACATCTGGAGGGATTCCAGACTGGTTGTACAGGGCAGGGCTGTACAATGGATCACCTACTTTGTCCCCTCAGCAACTCACAGAAGAGTTTATCCCTCCTCCCCAAACTTTCCTTTGCTTTTCTTTCCTTCAGCTACCACTATCAATATACTTAGCTCTTTTTTGTTCTTAATGCCTTCTGTCTTAAAACACATTGATCTGAACTATACTTGGAACAAAAGCATTTCATATTCTGTGCAGAAGAAAACTTCGAAAACACACAGTTTCTGTTTGGGCCCAGACCTCCTAAAGGAGCAATCGTTTGCTCAGGGTGATTCCTATATGGCACAGGTGTCAAACTCGATTGGCTTTCCAGAGCTGGGGTGGGTGTGGCCGGCTCATGGGCCACCAGTTTGACACCCATGATGTATGGAATAGTTTACACATCCTTATTGCTTCTGATATACAAAAGCATAAACTATTTTGATATTTTCTGACGAAATGATTTTACAAAGCAGTATAATATGATATATATGATAAAAGCAGACATGTTCTATTGAGACAATATATCTTTTTTTTTTTTTGCTATTCTTAGATCAATGTTGGTCTTGCAAAAGATGAACCAGATACAAACCTGCTATACTTGATGAAGCAAGAAGGTGCAAAGCAGATCAGCAACGCTATGGAAACTTACATCAGCACTCTTAAAACAGGTACAGATTGACACAAAAGGGGCTTTATGCTGAACTGTTAGCTTTTAAAAGGAAAAGAAGAATGGATATTGGAACAAAATGTTTTGTATATTAAATCATAAGAGAATTTGAGATTATATTCATAGAGCATCCTTTATAGCTTTTAGAAACTGAAAAAGTAAATAATTGAAGTTGTGATCTCTGGATACAAAAGGTGGCCTATCCCAGTTAGACACAGTGTAATAGTCCCAGTGGCTCTACAGATATTCCTAAGTTGGCTTTTTGGAGATCAGGTTTGCGTGCATTTGTTTTTAAGTTCTTGTATAGTAGTTTTCTGAACATCGGTTCTTAATATTTTTCAGAATTTACCCAAGGCATGATTCTGCCTACACTAAATGGTGAACAGTCAGAGTCACAGAATCATCCTGTGCATAAAGCAAATAAGCACAAGGTAAGCTTTAGAGTACCCAGTTTGAAATCATAGGTGTTTAGAAAGCCTAAGCAAAATTGTTTTAAAGGATTCTTTTATTGGTGCCTATTCTTAAATGGCACTCAAAAGACAAGATTTTTTTTACATTACATATTAAATAGTGTATTGTAAAGTTGTCTCGAGTTTTAAAGATTGCATTCTGGAATATATATACTATATATTCTGTGACATTAATTATTCAAATTATGTAGCTAATGCAAAAGGTGGGCTGTTTTGTATGCTATCATACAGTCTATAGCTTGCTATTGGGGACTGGTGGGTTCCAGACAGAAGCAAAATTAGTTGCAGGTTCATATCTTTGCTGCCACCACAGTTGTAAGTAACGCAGCAATTATTTTTATCCGGAGAAATTTTGGGATGGCTGTAGCTCAGAAGTGACTAAGAGGCATTTTAATTGTGTGGTGTGTGATACTGTTTTAGATTAATGAACAAGTTGCTGGCAACAGTTCTGCATCTAAATCGGTTGGAGTTAAGATTCCTACCTGCAAGATAAATTTGAAGGATATTTTCCTGACATCCCCAGAGGATCTCTACAGAGTATTCATTACCCAAGAGGTAGGTTAATAATGAACTTCCTACAGATGTTCTGTGCCATTTCTTGCCCAATATATAGGCTTTTTAGTATGGTTTGGCATCAACCTCCTTCCCCTCCTTGGGTATCCTACTTACTGTTACACTCGGAGAGCATTGATCAACTTGATAGAGCAGAAATGCCTTCAGAATATTCCAAGGAAAACAACCACTTTATGTCTTCTCAGCGTTATATTGTCTAAGAATAAAAGATCCTGATTTCCAATTCATCCTTTCCGATTTGAAAATACCATGAGAAATGAGAGGTGCTACTATTTCATCATCCATGAAACTGCTCTAATCTTCTTTAAAGGAGTCAGTGAGAGTCAGTAGATGAGTCCTTACCCGGAAGCTAGAAAATCTCATCATAGACTGGATTTTATTTTCGTAGATGGTACAAGCTTTTACTCACTCACCTGCTGTTGTGGAGGCCGATAAAGGAGGAAAATTCCAACTGTTAAATGGGAGCGTCACTGGCGAGTTCATTGAACTAGTAAGTTCACTTTGCATGTTATTTGGAAGTTGGACAGTGCCTTTCCTTTGGACAATGATCTTCTTGCCCACATGATCTCACCAAGTGTTGTAAATTGTATGAAAAAAGGCTAGTGCACCTATGTCAAATAATTAGGTAAAGATTTCCCTGTCCTGTGCCTTAGACTTAGAGTGTCTTAACTCTAGGGCACAGTGCTCATCTCTGTTTTTTGGATGAGGGAGCCAGCCTTTTCCAAAGACATTTTTCGTGGTCATATGGCCAGCATGGAATGCTAATACCCTCCCACCAAAATGGCGTCTATTAATCTACTGGCATTTGCATGCTTTAGGTGGGCAGGAGCTGAGCAAAGTAATGGGAGGTCACACTTGTGTGGAACTCGAATCTTGAACCCAAGCCTGTCAGCAGCTGACAAACTCTGTGCTTTAATTGCTGAGCCATTGTGTCCCTTTTGAAATTATTAGCATATCATAATTGCAAATATTGCATTTGACAGCCTACAAAAAGACCATACAAGATAAGCTGGAAGCAAGGTGGAGAAAGTGGGAAGGGCAATCAACAACATTTTACAATCAATGAGAAATTTAATACATTCATATTTGTGAGAGATAGGGAATTGAAACAAGTAATTTTGAGAAGAGATTAATGGGGCATATACTGTACAGAATGGAGTAAAAAGTAAAACTAGGATGTGGCATGAAAGCTTCTGGTCATAGCAAAAGAGAAGAAAAACTTGTTAAAGCAAAAAATGGCAACAAGAGATTTAAAAGATGAAACAGTATATTCACAAATGGAATTCATCAATGTTTAAGAGATAGTACTTGAACCCACTGAAGGGCACACTTATCTTGGAATAAAAAGCAAAGAGAGAAGTGGGTTTTGGGTTTTTTTGGAAAGAAAAGGGTAAATAGATTTCAAGTTGAGGGGAAGAAGAGTACCTATCTGGGCAGTGCTGGACTGCTTCATTTTGGTTGCTGGTGTATGAAGTCATACAAGAAGATGCAGGATCCCAGGTGAAATAGGGAGTATTTGGAAAGGGACATTATGCTGAATTAAAGGGAACAAGCCTGAGAAAAACCGGAGAAGTCAGCCTCCATTGAAAGAGTAAGAAAAGGAGTACAGGTGAAGATAAAATGGGGAAAGGGAAGGTGGCAGAAACTAATAAGAGAACATTAGGGAGAAACAGAGAAAGGGTTTTTCCAAGTGGCTTTCTTTCTGGCTTGCAAAGAAGTTAATTGCCAATTTTGATGTCTTCAAAGGGATTAACTGAAAATTTATGGCTCAGAGACATTCTGATGTAGCTGTTTTTTCAGGGTTTTCTCTGAGTCCAACTATCTTTGCCTACCCTTAGAGTCATGTGGCATGTGCTTTTATTAAGGAGTGCAAAGCAAGGGGTTTCAAATCAGGTGCAGCTTTACTTTGCTGAGCAATTTGAGAGTGATGTTTTTCCTTTTCTAAGAGAAATGTTCTGCTTTAGTACTGCGTGCGTCCAGCAATTAAAGTACTCCAGAGGCACTATAGCAGGACCAGATATTTGATTTTTACCTAAGTAACACTGGCTTTCCGATGAAGTCTCCATTTTGGGATATCCACATGACTATTTCCTTGGTAAATAAATTATCTTTCTTTTTCAGGTTTCTGCAAAGCAGATTGCTATGAAATGGAGATTTAAGTCCTGGCCAGAGGGTAAGTTATTTGGCTTCAAATAATAGCAAAAGATGTCTAAGTGGAGATGATGAGATGGAGATAAAGCTATTCTGAATGCAGATAGCAAAAAAAGTGCCAGACTCATAGAGCTTGGTTTAGATAAATGCCTTGTTCCATTCCTATGTCAGCTGCAGCTGGAAATCTCTCTCATCATAATGAAATATTGACTGCTGTAAGGTCTAAGCATTTCACAAGCTTTTTAGAGGAATTTTTTTGGAGGTAGACTTCTACAACTGTCACCAAATCAGTGTGTCATTAGTTTTCATGGATGTCCCACGATAATGCTACGTGACTGATTGTGAAATTTATTTGGCTCTCTTAGGACACTTTGCAACTATCGTATTGACCTTCATCGACAAGGGTAATGAAACAGAAGTCTGTCTAGAAGGGAAGGGCATCCCAGCCACTGAAGAAGAGAGAACAAAAGAGGGCTGGCAACGTTATTATTTTGAGGGTATTAAACAGACGTTCGGCTATGGAGCCCGATTGTTTTAATGTTGGCTACTATGGAGTCTCTTCCCAAAGATTCTGCCATGTGAACTGATTCACTTCTTGTCTGTTCTTTCTTATCCTCTGTTTCACTATTGTGACAAGCAGGATGGCCCCGAAGGCCACTGAGCAGCACCAATTCCGACCCTTCCCTGCCTGTGCAGGTCTTCTATTTCATGGGTTTCAAAGTTGGGATTCTCATAAATGTACATATACCTTGTATTGCTAAATAAACTTAACTTAAAGAAGAGGTACCAGCTCTCTTATCTGAGTAAAGAAATCAAAAGAGCTTTTAAGCAAAGGGCAGAAGAGTTCCGACTCTTCATGGATAGAGATCTTAATTCAAAAGGTATCTGAAATTTGTGGGAATTTAACTAATGGGAACATAACCATTATATTTAAAATGCATCATTATGTAAGGACAACTTTTTATTTTTACTTTTCAAAAATGGCAATTTTTGAAATGGCAAACGTATTCTAAACTCTGTTGGTGAAATTTCATGCCTAGCAGTTGATCTGCTGTCGTAGTCACATTATCTTTCAATCAGCCTAATCTCTGAGAGTAGATGTTTATAATGGAAAAAGCACTTCCCCCCCCAAAATTCCATAATAGCATTTCAGGAATGTTGGAATCCAGAACAAAGACTGTATAAATCAGAAGAGAGAGAGCACATTGCCTAAAATCAGCATTCAGTTGAGAGTACAATTGTATTCCAAGAAGAGATTTTCAGAAGCAAATTTCACTTTCTTTGTTCAGAATATATTTCAACATTACAATGAGACCAGTAAGCATATCATAGCACATTAATTACACCTATAAATCTGAGGTTCCTTCAGGAAAATTGAGTTCTTGCTTGTGGGTAGTAGTTGTACATATAAAATATAAAAGTTGATTGCTTCCTTTATGTTTTTTGGGTGAGAGATTAGAAAGGAAAAAGAGAAACCGTAATATTGCTTTCTAAGCATTCAAGAGTCTGGGATAACTTAGTTTTTTATTTGATATTTTCTTTTTAATTTTTATTAAGTAAACATTAAAAACAATTGAACACAGTGCGACTTTCTTGGCATTCATTTTTGCCATACATACTATAATATAGAAATAGATATAACAGTTAATATTTCCTTTTTTCGAATGTTAATTTAACGCTGGTTACATATTCATTTCTATTTACATTGATATACATTGATATACATATTTACAACCTAGCTTCTTTTCCACCTCCTTTTTCTCCTTATAATCTTTATATTCATATCATATTTGTCCATTATCTTTCATTTTTTTTAGTCTACAAAACTAACTTTCGTTTCTATAAAGCATCAACAATTTTTTCTTTTCCTCCACTCCAACCATTTTGTTCCAGTATTTGGTCTTTTCTTGAACTTGCTCTGTGATAGATAGAAAATGCAAACTTGGCTTTTCTTTTAATTTTATTTGTTTATGTGAGGCAAGTTTGATCCTAAATTTAAGAATCCAAATATATAATCCAATATAGCCAAACACTGATAAGGAAAGTATTATATAGCCAAACACTGATAAGGAAAGTATGTGTCATTTAAAAGTAAGCTGTTGCTTTTGAATTTTCATGCAAGATGTCTTGTAACTTCAAAGTTCCTCATTATTTCTCTATTAATCTTTCTGTTTTGATTTTGAAAATGATACTTTGATTTTTATAAAGTGTTGGTCCTGATAGAAAACAGCAGTTGGCCTCAAACAGTTTTAAGTTTTTGGATGACCACATGATGGCAGCAAGGCCTAATATATTAGAGGTTGAATTTATAATAATGTGTGTTTAATGCTGTCAGCTTCTTGAAACAGCTGCAGTGGGTCTAGTTTTGCTTATATTCTTACATTTTGGAAGAACAAATCAGTGATGTAAAAAAAAGGAGAGCGCAGGGTTTTAAAAGTTCAAAATCACTATCTGGAAAATTAATTTGCAGCCATTAGATAGACACCTCATTTGCAATTCTGCTGCCAGTTGATATCACTTCTCAGGTGTAAATCCAATGCATATGAATAACATGACAGATGGCTTTGTGTAATTACTGCAGTGGATTCATATGAAGACTTGTAGTAAAGGTCTCTGTACTGAAGCTGCAATGTCTGTTTAACAGAAAATATTTTTTTCAGAGTGTATTAAGACTTATACAGGTTTAATTTTTGTTCCAGGATTTGGAATGGGGGATTTTACACCTCAAAGTAATGTATATGCCCCAAAGTTGGTAGCTGTTGAGAAATTCACTCAGAACAAGAATGAATCGTGGAATTGGGGATAATTTGTGAGGGATAGGTAAAACCAAGGAGAAATGTGCTATCTCTAATACTTGCTTAAAACGAGCAAGACTTGTTCGTAAAGGTACATTCACTTGAAGTATTAATACAGGTTGACAAGAGGGTCTCCAATCAATTGCACCCTTGTCACCTCCTAAAGCGATGAAAGAATTTGCGCAAACCTCAGTTAAATGACTGATTGCATTGAAGTCAGGTTTGGGAAAGAAAGAACCTAACAATTAAATTAGACAACATTTTCATTGTACTTTTGCTTTTATCTACGTTATTGTACAATTGGTCATCATCAGTTTTCCTCTTCCCACCCAACAAAATCATCTTCATTTTGTATTGTTAGATATTGAAAATAAGACAAAAAATATTGGTATTTGCTCACCTGTATACTTCTACAATCTGCCCCACTCCAGCGTTACTGGGATTGGTGGATTATTTTGACAGAAGGGAAGACATGATAGGGGGTTTTAGTCATCTCTGAACTCACTTAGGGCAGCTCCTTACCTTAACTTTATGAGTCCACTGTGTGCTTGCCCAAGCATAGTAGGAGTGCAGGCAGTACTTAGTCCAAGCTTTGCTTCCTGCGTTGCTTGATTAGGTTTAAAAATGTTTTGCAACCACTAGGGAGTTGCTGCTCAAGAGTTTTGAGAAGACTGCGTTAAGTTTCCCTTCAGAAGTTTTGCTGAATTTGGACACAAAAGTTAATCTAGGAAAAATATAGAAAAGCCAACAGCCTGTAAGCACTTGATAAATAAAGTGCCCTAGAAACCCATCATGTCACTTGAGAATATTTTAAGCCATTTTATTTCTGTATAGCCAATGAGGCACCCTGTGGGATCATAAAACAAATGCTGTGGTCTGCTGTATTTGTAGATACAGTATGCAAATGCTACAAAGAAAGCCTCTCCAGACAGCCTTCCCAGTAAATGGGAAAGGGGTGAGTGGGTGATCACCCTCTTAAAAAGGGTGGGGTAGCATATATTGCCCTGACCATTCAACTAACCCTCCCTGTTATTTGGCCAATTTGAAGCTTCCAGAAGGAATATAGCTGTCATTATTAGGTTTTTGAAAAGGCCAGAAAGCTGTTGGGGTTCCTTTACTCAAATTTCAGAGGTAAAAAGGCACAGGTTGGGGTGGGGTGATCTGAAATCTGTCTTAGGAAACAAATTCCAAAATTAGGAAATAAATTATGTTCTGAATACAGCAGTGCTGTCTTCCATTCTGATTTTCTAAATATGAAGGAGCAGGAGGGCAGAAAAGAGAAAACGATGTTTCGAGGCAGCTGTCATTCAGCCAACTCGCCAGCAAAATCAGAGCAAATCAATCAATGCAAAAAGTTTTACTTAACCCACAGTGAAGTTACAGCAGCTCTAATGTGCACCGGGAAACAACCGCAGTCTTTATGCAAGGCTATCATTATGGTTTGTTTCCCCATGCAAGGTGTAAACCCCGTCATTGCCTTTTCTCCAGTGACTAGAGAGGATGGTGTTTGATTTCCTTGTACGAGGTACAATGACAATAAAGTAAACCAAACTAGTTTCTTACTATCCATTTGTCTTTTTAACTTGATTCACGTTCTCTCTGATCTCTAACTTTATTTGTGTACGTGGTAGAGCTGTATCAATTTTCTAAGGCAGAAATACAGGTGACAATACTGCATTTCTCTATATTGATACTACAATATGGTTTGAGTGTTTAGTTGACTAACCATTTCTTTTGGATTTATTTTTTTGTACCAATGACACAACAAGGGCAAGACTGCTGTGGAACTATAACAGGAGGGCATAGGGGACAGCTATAATATTTGGAGCTTTTAACAATCGGCTAGAAAGAAACTTAACAGCCTGGAAAAGATCCCATTACAGCCTTTCTGCAAAGACCTTCAGCTACATAATATACGTAAATCAACTGAAAGCCATTACCCTATATCTCTTGAGAAACGCCTGATTTATAGACAAGGTTTGGGTTTCTTTTTGGGTCTGTCATCAAACTTTTCAATAGCACCTTGTTTAAATACACACCCTTTCCTAAGCAGCTGGATCTTGCTTTGTAGTCTTACAGAGAACTTTGAAATCTGATGCTGGCTACATTTAGATGCTGGCTCACACTCTTTACTTGGTCCCAATCGGGAGTGCTTTGCATTCTTAGCTGAAGGCGCCCGGTGGGGCTGACCGACCCTCACGGACAGACTAAGCTTGGCTCAGCTTCAAATGCTTGTCCCTGTGCACGGCTGCAGTCCAGCTGTGAGAATAACCTGCTTAAAGACAAACTGGTGAGGAGTGTGGCTTTCACACAAGCCTGCAGCAAAAGGCCAGCTGGATTTCTGTAGCAAAACAAATAAAAGACTTTCCTAATACAAACTGTTTCCAGCTAAAAGCCATTGGCAATGCTCCATACATATACATACATCTATTTTTCTTTTATTGGCTTCTTGGGATATCATAACCATAAAACGTGCTAAGAAAAGGGACCATATGTGTCCATCTTTGATGATGGATATTATAGAATTCAGAGGCGCGCTGTTGTCCAACACAAGAATATTAGACTGACTGGGAATAGTAGTTGATAATAACACTATTGTGAACTCTATAAATGATAGAACTGGGGTGGGCAACCTTAGACCATATGTATCATTCTTGGGCACCCTGAAGCCCATCAACATCTTAAAAGGAATGAAAATTTCACCTGTGTCATTGTTCCATCAGTCTAATCGCTTCCCTCCCCAAAGTATTTAAAAAGTATAATTTTTGGTTGTCCACAATTATGCCAGAGAATTTCCAGTTTCCAATCTAAAACTGATTAACATTTTTCATTTTCAAATGCAGAATAATGAGGCAGAAGCATACAGAGTGTAACAATAGAGTTTATTTGTAACAGAAGAACCTGAAATCTTCCTTCCCTTTTGGCATTTCATACATACAACCTCTGAGATCAAAGTCCCATTCAGCGTCCTGAATATCTCCATTCCTTAAGATATTAAGTAGTACAAACAATAAATATAATACAAGAGAAAATCTGGGGATAGACTGACCCATAATTTTCATTCTACTGAACTGGGCTAGACAATTAGAATAAGATGCCCTTCTGTGGTTTTTGGATTACGACTCCCATCAATTCAGATAGAGGTTTTAATCCAGTAAACAGAGATTGTGGATGATTCTAATTCAGAAGGATCTTGAGGACTACTGATTTCTCATCCTGACATTGAGGGACTATATCTAAAAGACTCACTTCTCCACCAGGGAAAAATTGTGTTAAGAAAAGCTCAGAAAAAAGGACTGATCTCTATCTTAAGCTAAAACAGAAGCTTTAACTTCTGAAAGGAAACACTGGGGCGTTCCTTTACTTTGAGATTCATTCATTAAAATTAAAATGCAGACAGGCGAGCAAACAGTAGCACATTCTGGATCCTTAATGACCACGTTAATAAGATTCAATTCCCTAAAGATGCATCATTTGGCAATGTATTGTCTCTGTCAAAATCAACTGAATGACCGAGCAACATAAGAACCAAATAATGTCGATCACAAACACATGCAATTTGAAATAAAGTGCTTTTATCTATAGTCAGATAAAGATTTTCTCATAAATGCTATTAAACCTTTATTCAAAAGTATATTGAAATAACCAATAAAATTACGAAGGAACAATATACACACAATACTTTAAAAATTGCATAAATAGAAATGCACAGAATCTTAATTACCTGATATAAAA